CGATGAAGCATTATATGATGAAACCGTGAACAATTGCATTTGTAGTTTGTTTGTCGGAGCCAATTGAACGCAACGAATCGTAGATTGCAGACACATTGTCAACCAGACTTCTAAGATGGCTACAACTTTGCTTTGATATATGTGGCAATTCAAACAGTGAAGCAATATTTTTCATAAAAATGAAACTGCTATTATCATAGCGGGATTTCAATCTCTGAAGTGCTTTTGGATAATTTTCGTTACTAACTTGAAAAGCCTTTACGGTATTCAATGCTTGTCCATGTAAACAGTTTAACAAATGATTAAATTTTTCAATATATGACAATGATTTGATTAAAAGACGAAATAAAATTTTTGTATTCGGAGTATGTTCCACTAAACGACGGCAATTTTGAACGGTGGCAATCTCGTATTTGATGACCCTCTTAAATAGATGTTTTGATGTTGACATATAGATCCTTAAGCTCGCCTCTCATTCTGTCCAATTCTTCAATTCGAGTTTGATAGCTCATTAGCTGCGTGAAGTACGATTCCAAAATGCCTAAACTGCATTTTAATTCAATAGGCGATAAAACCATTGTGTCTGATTTTGCATTTCGTTCTATGATATTCCTGATCCGAGTAATATTCTTCTTCGTGTTAGCACATTGCTGTTTCTCATTGCTGCCTCTCATTATGTCTCATTATGTCCAATTCTTCAATTCGAGTTTGATAGCTCATTAGCTACGTGAAGTACGATTCCAAAATGCCTAAACGGCATTTTAATTCAATAGGCGATTAAATCATTGTGTCTGATTTTGCATTTCGTTCTATGATATTCCTGATCCGAGTAATATTCTTCTTCGAGTTAGCACATTGCTGTTTTAGTTCAGTAGCCATACTAAAATCCAATTAAATTGCCGTAGATGCAAAAATCAAAATATTGTGAACAATTGATATATCGAAAATAGAGAAAATAACACGCAACAATAATTACACTGAAATAAATCGAACGCAGCAGCACAGCAGCGACAAGAACCAAAAGTAGCGTAGCAAAGGATGCACAAATTTTAGAAAAATACGTAAAACCAAAACGCAATCAAAAAACAGCAAAGCGTTGACAGCAGATGTAGCTGCAAGACAGCGCAGCGAGAAGTAAAGCGAGAAACAAAGCGTCGCAGTTGACAGCAGATGTAGCACCAAGACAGCACAGCAAGAACTAAAGCAAGAAACAACGCATCGCAGCAAGATATCAAAGTACCAACTACCGTAAGAATATCAAAAACAAAGTGCTTTTATTAACGATATCAACTTTAAAAACGTTATGTTTCTTTTATATATAAATACGTATGTATATAAAATATATGGAAATAATCCGTCATAAAATGTTTATAATTTTTAAAAATTTAATGTAGTCATCTACACTTGGCTATGCATATTTTGCAATATAGCAATCTCTGGGACCACCACCTCTTTTGGTTGCAATACTTGCAACGGATGATGTCATGTTAGATCTTGCTCTGAATTGACTTCGCACTATGGTTGGAATTCAAAT